GAGCTCTTCACGAATCACGCTAAATTATATCAAATCCTAGGCAGACGAAATTGACACTATAGTACCTAGCGGCTTTCCGCGGTCTCCGAAAGTTTGAGGCATTGTCAATTGCAGAAGTACTTTATTGAGTAGAAGCCCAACCCACGGAGAGGCATTTAGCAGTTGCTTCACTTGGAAAGAACGTTGATGTTGCACCACGAAAGCAAAAATGTCGAGAGCAGTGCTCCAAAAAGTCCGATCATTGTTCTTGTTAGATCTCAGTTCAATTGTGTCCATACTCAGTTACATGTGAGCTATTCGTCCGGCTTTACCGTCACTACATCTAGCTGGAGCATCTTTCTTTCACAGCATAGCCCACGTAAACTCGGCATCGAAGTCTCGGTCGTCCTCCTCAAAGCTTCACATCGCCTGTTTACACACTTCCACCTTCATGATGTCGAATCCGACCTCTTCCAGTAGTGCTTGATTCCCGCCCACGCCATAGCTGCTCCAGAACATTCCATACCTTATCCAGGAACTCGCCATTTATCTCCTCCTCATCGATAGTTGCAAGGCTAAGCGAAGAAACTCCTCCGGGTTTCAGTGCTCTGTGACCTTTGCGAACATAGTCTCCAGTTTTGACTGCGGAAGATGAAATAGGATGTAGAAGCTGGCTGTTCCGTCAAAGCTCTCAGGCTCTAGTGTAAGTGTGAGCATGTCGCCCGAAACTAGCCTGGCCTTTGGGAAACGGGCTTGAACAGCATCTCAAATTTCCGGCGCGCTCTTACCTACTTGTTCAATTCACGATGCTAGTGCATACTTGAAGTTTATTCAAGGGTTTATAAATCCGCCCCATTCGCAGCTCATGTCCAACAAACATCCGTACCTTCAATGCGGTGTCTAGGATCATCTGAACGTACCTTAATCAATTTTATATGAATGGAAGTGGTAGGTCGTGGTGAAGCAAACAGAAGGGAACCTTAAATCTCTCCCGGTTATACATAGAGTACCTAGGCGCGCAGTTTAACTTGCTCTTTCTTCTCGCAATCTCCTGGTCCCGGGGTATTGATTCAAGCTAAGGTAAGATTCAAAAAGACCCTTTCGGACAGATACAGCCTTTCAAAGTACAGGATCTAAGACAAAATGCCATTTTCGAGCTCGTACATGGTTAGTCTTCATCACCGTGAGTGTCAAGTCCTCTTTGAATCATGATTTCATCATCAAGTTGTAATATTGTCTACTAGGTTGCTTTGAAGTGTTTGATAGCGGATTTTGATCGATCTCCAAAGATGCAATCTTGTGACCTTTGCTCTAGCCGACACCTTGCCGAGCGGACCACTTCAGTCGCCGTTGCCGATGAACCTTTTGAGCGACCAAAGAAATCCATGCCTGCTGATTTACCTATCTACATGTACTATCATAAGTAATACCACAAACATGTAATTAACCTGTGGCTAGTAGTCCAGCGACAAGGAATAGGGCTTCACGATCATTGTATCTAGTCCCGCTGAGGTTATGAGTGCTGAACCCATAGCTCATGCCGAGGAAGTCTAGATGCCGAGACAAGAAGATATTCGAGGCTATCAGGTCGACCACAGATACACCGCGGAATGAATGCTGCACTTTCTGGGAGCAAAATGCGCTAGGACGGTTTCTAAGTCTTTATGCTCAAGGAATAAAGTACTTCGTAAATGCCTAGCTCAGTGTTTACAACTGTATGACGTATCAACATCGAGGCCTTACAACACCGTAACCTTGAACAATTGTTATTACCTACCTGGTGGGTACATGCATCAGAAACAGAGGGAAACGAAAACAACACTTTGCATAGTCACTTCGATATATAACGATACAAAAGCGGTGACGGTGACAGCGACAGGAGAGAAGTTCAATAGAACGACAGACATTAACGGCGGAGTCAAGAATCTATGTTTCTTCTGTAGCCTTAGACATTACTTCTGCCCGATCAAGCCTGTATGCAGTGATATGTACCAGTGATGTGGATGATGACTGAAATATGGGTGACACGTTGTTTTTTCAGGTCTACTGGTGCAGCCGGTCCAAAGTTTTCTTTTTTCTTTTTTTCCCGTTTTTTACCTAATGAAAGCGTGCAATCTGAGATTGACTGGGACTTTCACTTCACCACGAAGAATCCGTCTCATCCAGTGTATAAGTGGATTGACGAGAGTACGTGGAGATCCTTCGCACCTACTTCCGCACCTACTTCAATCAAATACACGTTTTTAATGATCTGAAAGGGCTATTGGCGGGTACCTTATGAGAGAGACTGGATTTGCCTGATGAACCTCATTGAAATGGGTCAATCTGGTGAGCTCAGCTCCACGGGTTGATGCCACACCCTCCAAGCGCCAAGGCTTGTTCACAAGATTAAAGGATATCTCAGAAAGGAAAAAGAAGACAAGAGCACTGCGAAAGCGCCGACAATCTGCTCAAGCCAGCTTGAAAGGAAGCTACAGTGATTGAAGGGATGATTGCCTCTGAGAGTCTTGCTGTGGTCAATGTGTTTTCCAAACTTCACAAACGGTTGAGGCCATAGAACTTAACTTAAGAGCTCGCCCACCTGCACGATGAAACCGCGCCAAAGAGAATGACATCAGGCTCGCGACGATGACAAATCTACCTACTGCGTTGAGAGCCCGCGCGCTATTGTGAAGTCAAGTTCCATGACCACAGTGGACATGAGCAATGCAGTCAGCCGGAAGAGCATCCGCTGGAGCTGATGCCAAGTCAATGATTCTGCAAATCCTGGACTCCTCCAGACCGCAAGCGAAGTTGAAAAAATGGGGCAAAAGCGAGGTAGACCGAGCTACAAGTAGACAGCTTCATTTGAATCCGCCTTCCATTGCAAAAGTAGAGTTGAATTTTCTTGAAGAGGAAGGACGCTGGCAAGAACACACACCAATCTCCAGGGGCCAAAATCTACTGTCTTGGACTCTAGAACCCTTTTTGTTCGGAAGCCGTGTCTGTCCGATTCCGCCTGGCCACTCCAGGAGGAGCCGATCAGTCGCGAAAGCCTTCCTTCGTCGGATCTGACGAATGCGAGCAGGCCAATGCCGTTGAGCAACCAAGACCTTTGCTTCCCTAATCCACGCTTTACACAAACCCTGGGCCGACAAAGGTACGCAGTCCATTTGCCTCTCCTTCGCAGCTGTCTACGCAACGCTTCGTGATAGTGGGAGCGGGATTAATCCCGGGAATAAGCGGCAATGACGGGAAGTCATATGAGGAGCTGACATGGCAATAGTACTCGAAAGGTAGGTAGTCGAACGGAACTTGGTAGACACAGAAGATAAGAAAGGTTGGAATTATGAGCCGTCGAAATTCGTTGACCTCTCGCGCGAAAGTGAGGTGGACACAAGGAAGGATGATCATTAGCAGACACAATCAATGATGAGATGCTGCTGATTTTTTTTTTTTTTTTTGAAGCTCAGCACGATCCGGCACAAGTTCATGGAGCTCGCTGGGGCGGCAATAAGCTCAACTCTCGCGTGGTCCTCAACGTGTGGGCAGAACCCAGTAAGATGGCGCACGAGCTTGGCAGGCCTGCGGGATATTGCTGTGCCCTCGGCAACCAAAATGCACGAGCATGCATATGGCTGTTGGGTACCTACCCCTGGGCCCTGGCAGAGAACCTGGGCCCTACGGATAAACATGTTAAGTAAGGGATAGGCCTTCTGATCTTTTTCCTCGTAGCCTCGAGAGTGCAGCACAGTTTACGTGATTGACCCCGACGGGATCCCGAGGGGGTATTCCCGTGCCCACAACGTCCTCAATTCTTTGAACTTTGAAGGCCCGTCGGACTTTGGCATCCGAGCAGACTGATCAGCGTCCAAGTTCCGACTGCGGACGGGCGCGGTTGTCGCCCATCTTATCCAATCAAGGCCGGATGTGAAGGATGACGACCCAGCTGGGATTTCCCTGGTGGCAGGTTTGCCTTGACGACCATTTCGCGCCCCCAAATAGACAGGGCTGAGTTGCTAGCGCTTACTATCTTATAATTGCGCCCACAAGCGGTTTGGCTCGGTTTCTCGAGCTCCCGCTGCTAAATTTCGAGTGGCGGCTATCGCCCACCTTTGGTTTTCTGGCTTCTCTGTGTTTTGTTTCACTTCTTGTCATCAACGGCCGCGTGGCTGACTCTTTCTTAAGGTTATCGGAATTTAGAGTTGGCTTTGACGCCGTGGAGCTTCGACATAAACTTGGCGCCTCTTGGTGAAATTTCTTTCCCTTTCTAAGTCGCGGTTATCACGAGAACCGCGTCCATCTTTTCTTCTTTTAGTATACAGGATGACGCCCAGGTTTGCCAAGCAAATGCCGGCGCGAGTGGGCCTGCAGGATTTCCGCGAAACAGGGAGAGGACCATCGACCACTATGGAAGCCTGAAAGTCACGCCCATCTTATGCTGTCTCACCGTCCTAAGGGGACTTTGGTGTGAGCTTTTGGTGTGCTTATGTCGCCAGTCTCGATCTTCCTAGACCTGGCCACATTGTTTCGCAGATGCACCGGCAGCGTTGTACCCAACCATTCGTCGGCCAGTAGGAACCTAATTTACCGCTGCAGAGCCACCTCAAGAGACGATGATCCTTCATGAATTGGTTCGTGGCGTCAAGGGGCGGAGTGTCAAATAAGCCAATCCCCAGTCCACCCGTTGACTGGCGTTTCTCTCCCGCTCCTCTCCGCCTGAGATGGTGTAGTCAATCTGACCCCCTGCTGCCTCAAATGCTGATGCCTTTTAATAATGGGGTCGGCACCTCGTCCGGGGCCCCCTGCATGTCTGTATGCATTTCTGCCCTTTTGAATCCTCTTTCTCCCTTTCATCTTTTGTCTCTTGGGGATTTATTTCTTGATGAGTGATCGTTCGAATATTGGTTGACTTTGACGTTGGGAGCCTCACTCGCCGTCTTGCGAACACTGCATATACGCGGATAGAGCAACAGCCAGTCGACAACGACAATCGAGTTACTGTAGCATTTGCTTACAGAGTCGAGAACGAGACAGCGACAATGTCGGCCGTGACGCTGGACTCGAACGTTTGGTACGCCATCTCAGAGGGGCGTGTCGCGAACGTCTCAACACCACTCAACAACAACCTGCAAGATACCAACAATGGTCTCAGGGTCTTCGGCAAGACAGATGCGGTGTGGCAATTTCAGCCAGTGCCAAATCACACCGGCCGGTATCTCATGAGACTGAGCTCGGCCGGCGTGAGCCAACAGCTTTCCGTGTGCTGGAGCTCGGCGGAGGTGCATCCTAGTGGCACAAGAGGGTGCTTGAGAAAAACGGAGTCGGATGAGACTCAGCAATGGGACGTTACTGAATGGGCAAGCGAACCGGGCACATACAAGTTCACCAATGTTGCAAATGGCACAGGCTATGTGCTCGATGTTCACCCAGGATCCAATCTCTTCATGTCGAGCGAAATTGAGGGCTCCGATAATGTGTCGGCTCGTCAACCTGCTCAGCACTGGATTATGACAAGTTCAAAAGCTGTCAACGATGGTGCCTACTCCACCATCTATTCAGCAGGCGTAAGTCTCTCGTTACTGTCAACGAAGTTATGGACTTCTAGTCTAACTTACAAGCTCAGACTACGCCCGTTAGCACTGGTTCAGCAACAGCCACAGCAACCGGAACAGGATCGGGCGCCGTCACCCCTACAGCTACCAGCGGATCCGCCACCGCAAGCTCCACCGCGGGAGCAGGGTCGTCCTCAGGAGGTCTGTCGTCGGGCGCTGCCGCCGGCATCGGTGTGGGTGTTTCTCTCGGGGCTATCGCGCTCCTAGGTGCTGGCTTCTTCTTCTGGTGGCGTCGCAGAAAGGCCAAGAAGGAGGCAGTCGTTGAGCCGAGCGAACATCACCACGAGCTTGGCCACGATGGCAGCACGGTCGGTGGAAAATACAGCCCCGGTACCATCAACGCCTCGACACTTTCTTCGCCTTCGCCAGCAAACGATTACTACGGCGGACAAGAGTCGAAGGTTCTTGGTCATACACAGCCGCACTCATACGCCGCCGAAGCCAACGCAAATCCAATCTACGAAGCTCCCACCGAGGCCCGGTACGAATTAGACTCGGGACACCACACATCACCCACTGGCCCAGCTCAACTCCCTGACGACCATGGAAGAAGATAAAAAAAACAGAACGATGGAATGAAACCGCAATACGATGGAATGGGCGTGGTGGGGACTTGGGCATAAGAGCGTTCTCTTCTTTTTATATACCATTCAGTGCCAGCGGGTCGAGAGGGCTAGACGGCCCATGTGAATATTGAGGGCCAGGCGTTAGGATTCGCTGGACACGCAGATAATGAATTTGAGCCGAGTATTTTACGGCTCTTTTGACGTACGCTCCTCCTTTCCCATCGATGAAAACTTTGAATCAGTTTACCAGGTATTGCTTGTCGTTGCTGGAAGTTGAGACTTGTGATCTTTAGATCATGCTTAAGATAATAATTAGAGACAGCTTCGAATGCGGTGTCTCTTCTCTATCCAGCGGTACATGTGCACATGTACTGTCACTTGAAGGTTCCCAAACCAGAATGAGTAGTAGGAGCGAGCTTCTATCTACTAGCACACCTACTCCTGCTATGACATAGAATTCCCATGAAAATAGGCTGAGGCGCGAACCGATCCGTAGATGACCTCCGAGTGGGGTCACGACCGCCGATCAGCGGCCGGCATCCGCGGTCCCACACGCTGGCAGTCTGATTCGGAGCGAGAATCGCCTTAACATGCCAGCTTCATTATTCATATGTCCAGGGTTTTTGCCATGTGACAATCATATACAGTGTATTTGCTCATGCATATAAAATACATACCAACCTAAATCTTGACTCTAAACATTAAGTCCCCCCCCCCCCCCCCCCCCCCCTTGTCTTATAGGACCTGAACGCAAATGAAATCAGCGTCCTAGATCCAGGACGTCTTGATTTTCAGGCGAGTTCTTATTCCTTCACCACAATCTGTTCAGATTGAACCGTTCTCACAGTTTCGAACTCGATTGCCTGGCCCTCTTCAGGAGTGGTGGCCCGCTTGCCGCGATTTTGGGCCATCTCTTGACCCATAGCAGACTGGATGTGGTTCGTCATATATGCCGTGGGGTCTTCGATAAACAAAGAGCAGATCAAGGCAATGACGCTGAAGGGAATCGTAATGTAGAAGACGATCTTCAAGGCATGGCCTGCGCCCTCTCGTACGGCCTCTCTCAGGGCATCTTGAATCTCTGGAGTGATGCCCGGAACATTGACCAATGCTAGAGGGTTGCCCAAGTTAAACTCGATTGCCGCAGGAATGATGATACCAAGGTCAGATGGATTCAACCCGTTGCTAATGGCCGCATTGGCGATTTCTTCGCCAGCGAATTCGCGGAACTTTTCTTGAAAGATTGTGTTGAAGATGGCGTTGCCGACGGCGCCACCTCCTGATCTGAAGGTACCCAACAAGCCCATTGCCACTCCCAGGTTTGAGTGCGGAACGTGAAGACTAGCAACAGCATAAGACAAGATAGTGACCCAGACAAACATAGGTACACCAAAAGCAGGGACGAAAGCATATGCAAACTTGTGGTTCGGGTATACAGTCGCAGCACTAGCGCCAATGAACAGTGCTTGGAATGCCATGCCGATAACAAGCTGCCACTTGATGTAGCCAACTTTGTGGGCGATGAGGGGTGCAAGGACACCAGTGAAGCCAATCATCAAGGTGTTGGGCAGTGATAGCGCACCGATCTCAATGCCATCCGTCGTAAACATGTAGAGGAATCCTTGAGGTAGGAGGGCTGACATGGAGTTGAAGTTCATACCCGAGACGAAGAGGACAACAAGGAGGACAGAGTAACGACGGAACATGACAAAGAGCTTCAACGGAAACATCGGATGAGCAGCAACCTTGAAGTCGTACGCAAAGCCGACGGCTAAGACTGCGAAGCCGATGACGATGGGTGCGATGGCGCCGGCGCTATTCCAAGGGTAGGCCGGGGTGCCACCCCATGTCAGGCCGATGAGAGCAATGGCCAGACCGGCCGTGAACAGGAACAGACCAATCCAGTCTACATCCCTGAGTTGCTGCATGCGAGTCTTGTCAAAGTCGCCCCGGGGCCGCGGGGTTGGGTGGTAGGAAAACCAAGTGCCGACGATGGAAATGACCTCAATGATGATGCTTAGGCCGAATATCCATCTCCACGAAGCGTACTTGAAAAACGCATTGCCGAGTAGGACGGAGAGGATGCCCCTGTGAATTCTAAATGTCAGCTACCTTGGCTCTTTCTCGGCAGACGAACACCCCAGGTTTTGATCGATTAGTCGAAGTGCGGGGGTTCCCCACGTTCAGATCTGTGTAGGAGGTGCGGTCGGCAGGGCGCCTGGAGTCGGCACCCAGATATATGTGCCGAGGATTTGGGGTAAGAAAGAAAGTTCCTTGACTCGGGGAGGCGTTCGAACCATGCGACATGGAACACGGGAAAAGAAGGGTCAGATGCTCAGATGTTCAGACTTACCAGGGAACAGCGATGCCAGATTCCAAGATACCAAGACCAAGAGAACGCCACTTGTTAGGCAACATCTCCGGGACACCTGCGTAGGAGACGAAAACGAAGCCAGTCCCAATGCCGATGAGTGTCTCGGCGGCAATGAGCGTTCCTATATTCTGCGCGGCGACCGCGGCGATGGAGCCGATGACAACTGTGACTTGGCCACCAATGACCAACATTCTCCGGCCGAAAACATCGCTGAGAGGTCCCGCGAGGGAGAAGGAGCATGCTGTCGAAAGAGACCATGCTCCTACAAGCCAAGCCAACTGGTCCTGCCCACCGAGCTCTGTAGCAATCTGCACGACGACGGCGGCAACCGTGAGGAACGCAAGTCCGACACATGGACCGAAGGATAGAGCCATAGACTATGTATGTCAGCCAAGATGCGCCAGAGAAGCTGCAGAGATGCATTGGTCTTACAAAAATTGCAATCCATGTTTTGATGCCAACTTTTGCTTCGGACGGGTTATCCTCAAGTGCTGCGCGGTGAGGATCCTCTTCAAACTCGATGACAGCTTTGGCCTCTTGGGCCATCCGTATCTTCATCTCTCGGTCTCGGCCCATGTTGGATGATTCGTTATATGACATTTTGAAGTTGCGCAAAGAGACTGAACTCTTGAAAATAATGAGAAAACCCGGCTTGCTTCTGTTCAATAGTAGTTTAGAAGCGTGTCGGTTGGAATATTAAAGGTTCATCTCGAAGAAGCCGCGACATGGCACGGGCTATTCATATACAGATTTGGATTCAGAGTATCCGAGCTTTGGTCCGAGCGGGGGAACACTTCAGAAGCTTAACAACAAGCAGCAATGCTGATTGAACTTTTGAAGAGACGTCGCCGTGTGATTGGAGTAACGTCGAGTGTGCCATCAAGAAGGGTACGGGACCGGGGTTGATCCCCTTATTTCGATGCAACCTGGGGGGGTTAAGCTGTTATTGATTAGCGCGACGACGTCGATGTGGGAGGGGAGGGGCCGGCAGATACGACTACTGCAAAACCTCGACTGTTACATGAAAACCTTCTTACAATAAAGTTTCTTGTCGGGGACGGCAGCCGCTCTAGTTGATTGATAGTTTCACTGGGTTTCTTGGTTCGGCTGGAAATGGGATCGTATGGCCTGTATGGTGTTCCATTGGTCGATGTTGCGTTGACAGTTGTCCGCTTTTGATCAAATTCACCATGAAAGTTGGATAGAATTCGACTTCTATGGGCTGTGTCATCCCGTCTCTCCCGAGGTGCAGATTGCGTATTTGCCAGATGAGTGATTAGTTTTCGCTGCCTACATCGTATCGCTGATGTAAGAGGGGAAGTTCTATCAACCACAGACAAGAAAGGTCGCTTCTGTTGACTGATTCAGTCTTTCATATGCCAACGGCAACCTGATTTATGCGAATGTGCTAGGAATTCTGGGAGACAATCTTGTACGGTCTTCTAACATAGTCTTTCGGCAAGGATTTGGCGTAGACCTAGCTGACTGCCGTTGCTGTAAGAAAGTGGACACCTTGGCTTAAAGAAATCTTACTGGGACCAGCCTTGCTGATACTCCAACTAGTTTGGCTGTGGAACTAGTATCGGTCGCCAGCACGTTTCAATGAGAATGCGATCTCTGCTTCAAAACTGCCGGGTGCTAAGAAGGCCAAGTCGGTGGAGCTAGAGGTTTGCCAGAAATTGACTTCCGTTGCCAACAACGCATTGAGCAGCTTCATATATTCCCAAAGTCTCGCTCTATCGCTGTATGACATATTTTTGCGGACAAAAAAAAGGCGCCGGTGGTCCTCGGCAGATCTGTCTCTATTTGGCCTATCTGATCACCTCCTTGGCAAACTTGGTGACTGCAAGCACCATGAGCTCGCGTTGTCAGAGATCAAAATGAATGGAGTAACAGAAGAAGTGGTGCAATTACCTTTCCGTAGATACCAATAATGTTATCAGCTGCAGTACTATGGGTACTTGTTGTCGCAGGGGTGGCTGTCCGATTAGGTAGTGTCAGGTGTCCCAGCACATCAGAGCAGCTCCCCAGTTTTGCGGGAGTCTACACGTGTTCTACTGAAGCTTAATTTTCTATAGACACAAAGAAACTGGTCAAATCATATCAAATAGCATTCATCTCAATGCATGCCTTTGGTGTGTGACAAAGGACTCTTGCACTCGAATACGACTACAGGATATTGATAGAGAAGATGACGGAGAAGATATGGCATGTAGCTATTTGCCTATGGCGGTCTTGAGCCAGACCGGAGAATATAAGACATCATTATATTTTACAGGATCATCAATCAAAGCACCTAGCGATGGCGATGGTGACAAACAAAGGGCAATATAGCTTGTATTGCGCATTCTCCCAAAAATGCGTTACTACTATGCAACGTTAATATTATCGGGCAGGCAGTATGGTGGGGCTGTAAGACAATCATTATTATGGCAAGAGACGGAAGCTGAGGAAGCGACTCCTCGATGGCCAGGAGGGGGTACTTAATTGCAAAAGGGAGCGAGAATTTCAACATTGGCCTCAGTTTTCGACGGGATGCTTTGAGGTACGCCGGGAGCAGATCCAGCGCTGAGTGCGGCGAGGGTGAGTTAATTCCAGCCAAGCCTTTCTTTTTTGTGTTATTAACATGTTCACTCCAAAAGATACTTGTCCATTTACTTTTGTTTGGCTGACTGAGGGTGTACCTCCCAGTGAACCTTTGTTCGGCATCTGGTGATTCACGGCGGTGGAGTAAATTCCATCCGGTCTCCCGGCCCCACTGCACGATCTCGCCCCGCCGGCCGGCCAGGTACCTCGCGCCTTCCTGGTCAGGTGACAGGGCATTTAGTCAAGTGGTAAAGCTGAGCATTGAAGGATTGAATGTTGATTCATATTATTGTAGGGGTCTGGGGTTCGAGACTACTTCTCGTAGAGCCTTTTTTCTTTTGAGCTATTAAGTTACTCTAGCCCGGGTCTTCGACTTGCCTCTAGGCCCGGCCCCGAATAGACACGCCGATTATGTAACGGCCACTTCTACTCATTGAAGTCAACGTAACTCCTCTGCTTCTTCTTGCCAGAAGATCTTGGTGGTATAGATACAGCTGCCAATGCCTTCGGTGGACCCTGGAGAACAGGAGGGCATGCCAACCTCTTCTTCCCTTCCAGTTCAACCGCCTCGATGAAGGTCATAGCCAATGCGTCGTCCTTCAAGATCTTTGATGAGGTTGCCAGATACACCTGCTTGAATTTGTGCCACAGCTTTGCCTCAATAGTGTGCGAGTCTTCCTCCACTGTTGGCCTGGGATAATACGGATCATTGTCCCAGAACCCTCTGACTGCTTTTCCTACTCCTTTGTTGTCCATTGTGATTTCTCCAACCTGATTGAAGTCTAGAAGCCATACATTCACAGCCTTTTGCTGAGATTCAGATCCTTCGCTTGGTTCCCGGGTGGTCTTGACTGATGCCCATTCCGCAGTTCGAGTTCTTGGTTTTGGCGATGAGGCGAGGACGAACTCAACGTCGAACGCATCGTGCTTGGTTTCCCAGTGCATGACTGCCAATGCTTCTGCCATGGGTGCCACATATTGAAGTGGATCGATGTTGAGAATCTCCATCTTGTCCAAGGTCATTTCGAAGTTACGCAGCTCGAATCCTCCCTCGACTCTGGTGTTTTGTCGACGCCGGCCCAGGTACAATCGAGCAAGGCAGTTGTTGTTTCTTCGAATAACACGAGCTGCTACTCTCTGCTCCTCAGGACAGAAAACTTCGATGAGGGCTCTGCGAACCTCCATAGGTAGTGCTGGGATTCTCTCAGATATGAGGACTGCCATGTTCCTGCTGATGAGGGTTCGATCATCTGGCAGCTTGCCCGACTCCCTGTGTTCATTATACCACTGGCCAAGCTGTTCAGGTCTGACGAATTCAGCTGGACGGGGGATGGAGACTTGTACGCCCATGTGGAGGCCGGCGGCATAGACTTTCTGATGCGCGACATAGTCGACCAGTAATTCTGGAAACTTTCTCAGCTCTTTTGCCTGTTTGATGACTTGACCTGTGCTCCCAAAATCATAGATGGTAGCGCAGAATCCTTCGCCGATGTGTTCAAGTTCTGCGGTTCGTCGCTCAGTAACCTGGCCTTCTTGCAGTCTCAGAAGTGAATCGGAATCAAGTCGTGTTGAAAGTGACAGGTATGAAGACAACATCTCAACTGCTTCTTGACTTTTGGTGTGACTAATAGTCGCATGTGTCCGTTCATCTTTGCTCTTTGTCGGGCTATCCATGATGGAGTGGTGGATTCGATCAAAGTCAAATGAGAACAGCGGTGGCTAATTTTCGAGGTTGTGAGGTAGAATAATTAATGGAGCTGATGGGCCTGACCTGCCAAATGGTTTTTTTTTTGAGAAGGAAGCACTTATCTATATAGTATGTTTGTAAAGAATCGGAGATAGAAATACGTAGCATCAAAGACGTGGCGTTAGCAGTCCTGAGGCAGCTTCGAACCTTGTCTGCAAAGCCCTACATCAAGGTTCTCAAGCAAATGTTCCAGGTATCCTTAGCTAGTCAGAAGACAGACAGTCAAGGTTCTCAAGACATAGTCTCAACTGCAAGACTGGACACTGCCGCCTTAAAAGTCAGGATGGGATACGTGAGCGGTCCCGGGTCCCGACGATTTGTGACCTTTCTTAACCCATCACGAAACGTTGTTTAGATAACTCATGAATATTGAAGCCGGAAGTTGTTCTGGTCAGTAAGAGAATTTCACTTGCAACATGACTTCAGCTCGCACGTGATCCATCTTAGCTGAGAAGGTCCGTCTAGAGTCTGGAAGACTCCTCCGGCTGTGCGGATATTCGGCCGGTGAGTCACCCGGTATGCTCCACAACCCGGTTCCGGACCAATCTGCACTCGAAACGGCAGGAGCGGCCAACCGTAAAGTGATTGGCGCGATAATACTCCGCGACACTAAGCATTTTGGTCGTGCGTGAGCCTCACGCCTTACATAAAGCCCCAACTTCAGCACGCGTTAAAAGCCCCGAGAGTCCTCAACAAGAAACTCCCAGATTGCGTCTTGTTCGATCAGGGACTGTGCCGCGCTTATCTCGATGACACCAGAAACTTCAATGCACGTCCGGCCAGCGACCACGATAGACGCAGATGCCATCGCTGCCGTACATTATGCAGCCCTAGAGCAATTTCACGACTTCTATGGAGCTTTCTTCGAGCGTCATCCGAGGGAAATCCTCCCACTTTCAACGCGACTCGCTTTGAAGAATCCCAAAAACCACTTCCTGGTTGTTGTCGCATCCGACACAGATGCCGTCGTGGGTTTCATTAGATACCACGTCGTCGATGCGATGCAGCCGCCTGCTGCAACCACAGTGGAGAAGCCCACGGAAAGTGCGGATACCGAACCTACCGTGCCGTCCATTTTCGCAATTAAACCTCACATGAAAGATCTGTGGGAGCGCTTCGGCCACCCAAGGGAGGAAGAGATGGATGAATGTTACGAAAAGGCAGTAGATGGACGGAAACATAATTGTAGGCACTACGGAATGAGCACCGGCCAGGGCATGATCCGGCCGCCAACTTGTTGTTGACGAGAGTGATGAGAGTGCTGACATCGGTGCCAGATGTGAAGAACATAATGGTTGACCCTCATCATCAAAGAAAGGGCATTGGAGCAAAGTTGCTCCAGTCAGTCATCGACATCAGTGATGCTGAGAAGATTCCGACTTTCCTTGTTGCTTCGGCTGAAGGATATGGACTGTACAAGAAGTTGGGGTTTGAGGACCTTGGAACCTGGACCATCGATAACGACTACTGGTCCAAGGAGATTGCCCGACATGAGGACGAGCTTGGAATCATGGGCAATGAGGGCTTGGCGCAAACGTATCGGGGGAAACATGAGGTTGAGAAGTACATGATGAGATGGATCATTCAGAAGCAATGATCCGGTAGCCCTCTCCGCCACCTTCATAAGGTTGGAACGCGAACCAAGTACAGATTGGCGCTAATCTGAGTATCTGAGACTGGCAAGCGAATAATACTGTCTCGCCTAAAAATGTGATACAATTGGTAGTATGGTCCTGGCAATCTTTGCCCAGGATTGTGAAAGATGCACAGCCTTATCTACCACCGGACTTTCCGTCGATGAGAAGGACTGTGTTCTGCTGATTTTTCACCTTTAAAGGTACTTAGTCTTGCCTCTAAATAAGCTTGCATTCCCTTCGCTAGGTGAGTTGTGCTGCTGGTATAGTTGTGGCTGTAGGCGGTCTCCCTCTTCTGCTTGGTGCAGACATGGATGCTTGCGAGAACGACCTCTGAGCTCTAGATGGCAGGTGATGGCTTCCAGTATCGAGTAACAGCCTGTGACCCAAACCTAATCCGTCTCGCTATTTCCATCATTACGTTGGAGTCACTTGATGTCCCGTGAGTCGTGAAATAAACGAATACATGAAAGTGGTCCTTGCGGGCTTTCTAACTCAATGGCCGAACTGGACTTCCACACTCCGGCGATAGTAGGGTTAGTAAACCACGGCTCAAGAGGCTAAGGGTATAGTATCATGGTGTAATTAACAGAAAATACAGATCTGCGGAGCGATAATATGTCAGAATGAGGAGACCTTCGTAATCCAAATCCGAGTTGGAGCCGGTAGCGACGGCCTTTTGCAGGAATCCGAGACCGAAGCTTCCAAATCCACCATGAGTAGTGTATTCCACACGTTGCGACTCGTACGCAGCGATTTTCTCCCCTGTTTCACTTGTCGACACTTTCGTTGTGAATATAGGCACTGTAAATATATTATTACAAGAATTACAGAGCCCGAACAACTTAACTTTATTCACTTAGATGAAGGGCCAGGCTTAGCGACACGGGTTCGCCCCGCGATCATTTCCACGATTCGACCTATTTCCAGGATTAGCCCTCTTGGTCGGGATGAACTCGCCGTCTTGCGGCCACACTTACTAAAAAGCAAAAGGCGGGGAAAGTACGCGCTGAAGACCTCTCACACGCCTAGGCTTAGCCAAACCATCGCAAAAACATGGGAGGCCCATCGCTCTAGCCCCACCAGTGCGATTCATGACTCCCGGAATACCCCTACCGCCTCGACTAAAAGCGGTAGTGAGAAGGAGCTATCCGTACGGAGTACTGCGTACATCATTCAGTATGCTTCCCCCGTGAAACTAGGGACATGAGGCTCATAATTTATACTTTGCGATCCTCGTGATGACTTAAATTGCTACTCCTCTTGGCATTCCGAGGTCGCCTCGGGCTTTTCAACTAACATCCAAGTACACATATTTAAGAGGATACTTACTCCCATTGAAGGGCCTCTTTCACTCCAGCCCACTATCAGAAACCATTGGATTACATCACGGTCATTATCGCAACCATGCAGTTCCTCAACACAGTCCTCGTCTTTGCCTCGTTGGCAGTTGCTGCTCCCGCCGTGGATGTGGCCGCCGCCCCTATTGAGGCGAGAGCGGCTCCTAGCCCGTGCTACTCGAACCAGAAGTTGACCTGGAACACGGGCCAAATCCCCGGTAGCGGTGGATGGATTGTACGCAAGGCTTCCAGTCCCCTACAGAAGCTACTATGCAGGCCCTATACTAATGACTCCGTTATTGCAGTGCTACGAAACCCCCTCAGGCCCTTGCACTAAGTACTCGTGGAAGACTGACCTTCCCTACTACAGCGTAAGAACAATTTCGTCTTTGTGACTTACCATAACGGCCGCTAACTTTGGACGCTTCTTAGTGCACCTAAGCTGATTGCCCACTAATACCCTCTATGGCGAAATGGGCGGTCAACCCGGGATCCCCTGATCGCATCTTGAGTTTGTAAATACTAGATACCAAATGGTGCTCAGGTTCCACTCCAAGTTGTCACGCCGCGTTCACTATCCTGTACAAATATTTTCAGGGGAGCCACGATGGATGGCGTGGAGATGCCCTCGCCGTGTAGCGTTATACAAGCGATATATTCACCTATTATCCTACGGTGCAAACCTTCTCACCGACATATTTAGCCATTAGAAACACCTGAGAAGTACAAGAGCATTATCATCGGAGCTCCTTTTTCGCTACCTTAGTTGATGAGCTTCGACGAGTACATGTATTTCTTTATTGCGTTGAGCCCTGAAACATCCCAGTAGCAAGCTTACGAACTGATCTTTGTCTGTTGCTGAAAAGATCCACAGCGCGCCGCAATCTTCGGGGGCAGTTGGATGTAGGAGGGTAACAAGTATCGCTGCGTCGCACATCGCACGAGACAGACTGCGCTGGATCAGGCCTGGGCACGATGACGGTACCGGAAGTCCTAGATAATGCTGTATAGACCGAGCACTTCTGTCGACTTCTAGGATTACTTTTAAAGTGAACTTCTCTTAGCTACCATGGGACATCTGCGGACGATGTTTGTGTCGACTCCGTACATATCGGGGTTTTCTGGACAATCGCGCGACGTGGAAAGGATAAATTCCAGCTGCATCTTGCTCCTAGAATGATGAAGCAATATTTCTGCTCATGTCGAACCTTCATCATGGCAACCCCACGAGGCAAATTTCCAGTCCCTAAAAGTGTCCAGCAAGAGATAAGCTTGATACATGATACATAAAATAAAACGTTTAGCTCAATGCATAGTATTGGTAGAGACGACAGAAGAATATCAGGATTGTAAATAGCTGGGGGATGGCAAGATCTTCATTATGGCCGCCGCAATCCGACCCAACAGCCAAGAGATTTGTCCACCTTACTGTTGCAGACGCTAACGTACTTTAGATCGTGAAGATGGCGGATGTCTTTGTACGATGGCAGTAATTCGAAACAGGCCCGAGCAACCGAAGCAGCCAGTAAAGGTAGGCTAGAGTGCGGATAGCTCCGTCCCTGTCCTCATTCTGGACACCTTGTCCGGGCTTGCCCCTCCAAGACTGGGCCCATGATCCGGATGTAAAGACTTTCGCCGTCGCTGCAACCCGGTAGTCAGTGATAACCACCATGGAGATAATCAAATCCGCGTTTCTCCTCAGATATCGATCCTGAGTCTACTGTACTGGATGTACAGCCCGCACATCTGCCCCTAACGAGATGCCGCAGCAAGCAAAACATTGGCAGAGGAGGCGGCATGGAACTTTCAGAGTGAAGAGTTTCCGAGCTTCACGCTGTCCGTCATTTTGCCACATCTTGTTTTCGGTCCGGTGCTGCAGCGTCTGAACAATTTGGACTCCCTTAGCGAGTCAAACCAGTTCATAGGAAGCTTTTTCAACGGATCGATGAACAACGAAATACCCGCTGCCGAGGTCTAGCTTCCCATATTACCCTAACTCACCAAGAAGTATGCTCATGTCTACTGATATCCCGTTTTTGCCGACGTCCGTGATATAGCTTTGGCCCACGTACGGGCCATGGAAGAGCCCGAGGCCGGGAACAAACGCTTCTTCGTCGCCAACGACCACTTTTCGAACCGTGATATCATCGGCATAATTCGCAAAAGATCTGCCAAATACCGCGTCAGTCTGCCATCGAAACATTTGCCAGGTGGTGGTAAGTGCTATGAGAACACAGGCTCCGTGATAATGACAACTACTGACAACAGCATAGAATTGCCAGAAGACGTGTTTTCTATCAACACCCAACGTTCGGTGAACATCTTAGGAATGGAATGTAGGACTTTGGAGGACTGTATTGCCGACACTGTCGAATCTTTCGCGGCGGTAGAGTCGCGAGACACCTAGGCAAGGACTGAAGAGCACAAGCACACGTGGGGGAAACTGTACGAGCTCGACACAGGAAGCTGGGAGACCGGCCATAAACTTTCAGGGTTATGGTTCACTTGATGATTGGAATTTTAGATTACCAGTAATTATACTTCGAAAATTTGGGCCGCTATCATGTCTAAGCTTAATCAACCACAACGTTCAAGCTGTTTCCGACAACACCAAAACGTAGAAGGTGAAACAATATATTTCCATCGCTCATTCGAAAGGGAAACCCATGTTAAGCACAAGAAATCTCAACAACCCACGAAAGCCGTTCGACAAGGTACGTCATGGATTTGAATCAGTAGAAGGCACGCAGATCCCCAGTAAAGACCGTAGGTTATGCCAACGGCTTTGCTGATGATATAATACCGAACCCGAAAGTAAAGCAATCAGTTCCGAACTTAAGCTCACCGGCCGCTTCTGTCATATGCTCAGTCTATCAGATGATCCATGCATCATGTACTCTTTGACTGCAGCACACGCGAAGCGGATTCCTCCGAAGCCACTCTTCTAGAACTCAATCAAAAATGATGAAAACATCAACATCGCGTGATGTTTCAATCCGGGCAACGTGGATTGATTGCAGCGTCGCTCGTGCATTTCTTAAAAAGAGCCTCTGGCTGTTTTCTGCCTCCACGTTGCAAGCAATCCTGATTCATTCGTGTTCTCGGGCCGAACCGTGCAGATGGACATACACTCAAGTCGGGGGATTAAACGGGGATGAATTGCAAACACACATAGCGTCATGCACACATGGCTCGATTTACAGACCATTGAAAATCTTGCATAGTGTTCCTGTGATCCCATTCGCTCTTATCCAGATCATCTCGTGTGGCGAAACTTGAGCGCATGCGGCTATGTCTGTGAGCTATCAGTGGGCATCGTCCACCTATTCGGCTTCCTGCCGACTTTCAGGACACCAAAAGTTCAGAATTGTGATGATTTTAAATCTTAGTTAAGATTTCTATGGCTAGTACTTTACTTGAGTCGTCCCGAGAAGGCCTCTTAAAGGCATTTGTCCGGTACTATGACGCTCGGGACATCCTCAGTCAGAACGATGGACAGACACACTTTCCCAATGAAAGAGGCAGCCTCCCTACAACCTGGCAACAAAGAAGTAACGTACGGGCTAGACGCAAATGTACAATTACCAACTCCAATGGTAATGCTTCCACCTCGGTCGATACTCTGCCCTTAGTCATCTGGATGCTAGGGTTTGGTGGACGGCCTGTAGGAACTGAGATAAAATCAAGATGTCGCGAAAAAGGTTTTCAAGTCCCTCAGTCGCAAGCTCTTTGATCATCAATTGAAATTCCCCAAAATGAAAGAGTCAAACCGTGCGGTCAAGTCGGGAAGCCTTCCCCGATGACTTGGCTCAGGAGATGGCTTTAATGGTGGCTTGGACACCACGGCGCTCCCGAACATTTCGGAAGAGACCGTTGCCGCTGGAAAATCCCATTTAAATTTGCAAACTTTGATCTGAACACAACGTAAGCCAACTCATTTTCAACGGCGGCAGCACGCAAGGTACCGGTCGAGATTAATTAGCGGGAAGACTGTGCACGTCTTGACGGAAGTTGGTCTGCAAGATGGATTTAAGATGCATAGAACTATGCATGGAAGCTCATGTAGGGCGGCTCCAACGTGAGCTTACGACGTCACTCGGGCTCTCGCGGGGACATGTACATCAACTCATGATGGGGATCGAAAGCTCCCTGTGCGGCGTGCTCGTATTCGCCGAAGAATTGTTGCAATATTTCGGATAAGAGAAGCTTTTCACACCGCGCGGACGAGCGGCGAGCACACCTTTGATAGAAAACCGGTCTGTCAAGTGACTTTGAGACTGGACGAACGGCTTTTAGTTCCCAAATGTCTGTGGTCGTAGAACCCAGAGCCGTGGCCCCAGCGTCCACAGTCTCGCAAAGAGGTGGTGAACTGTCACGCTATGGGCTGCCTATGAACACTGGTCTTCGAGGAGAATTGCCCAGCTCAGCAACGGCCCTCACGGAGAAGCCGGGTCCAAGTGACCGTGAGCCTTGGAACTTTGTCGAGTTCGCGAACCATTACACGGAGGCTCCGTGGGGCGGCCGGTGCTCTCTGATTGAGTTCCTCAGCCAGTTGGACCGCCGACAACCTTTGAGAGGCGTGTTGAGACGACTGATTCTGTCGTCAGTGCCGTTGCTGTTCCCTTGTGGCCGCCACAAAGTCGTAATTTGTATGCTATCTCGTCGTGAAGTATCTTGGAAGGATTTCTATAAGATCTAGACGACCTTCCACCTCAAGTCGGTCCTTTTTCCTCATCATCCAACACACTTCACACTCCAGCCTCTCTTGAACAACCATCCTCAGCTTCTCACTTCGACTGCGAGATACTTCAAGATGAAGATCCTCAACGCCCTTCTCACGTTGTCGGCCCTGGCGGTCAGCATCGACGCCCTTCCAGTCTCGGTAACTAAAGACGAGGATGCCCAGACTTTCCAGTAAGTCTATCACTCCAGCACCCCTTCTGTATTCTTTTACTAACATTAAGCTAGTGACATGTCTCTGCATGAAACCAGCATCATAGCCCGCCAGGCCCAGCCTCCTCAGCCTCCTCCATCGGCCTTGATTCCCGACGCAACACCTGAAGACGACATGGATGAATTCGAAGAAGTGGAGGAAGTCGACGATGTCACGAATCCAGGAAAGGTCGAAGCCGAGGGCAAGAAAAAGAAGAAGAAGAAGAAGAAGGGCAAGAAGAAGGGCAAGAAGGAGAAGAAGCCCGAGAAGCCGGACGCCATCCCGGCTGATGGAGCTCAACCGCCGGCTGCTGGCGCTCAACCTGCGCCCGCAGCCGGTGCCCAGCCTATTCCCGCAGCCGGTGCCGCTCCGGCCGCTGCCCCGGCCAAGGCACCAGCTCCCGGAGCACCTGCAGCCGCTGCTCCCCCACCCGCCCCAGCGCCGGCGGCTCCTCGCTCGGTTGCCAAGGCATTCAAGGCCTAGTCGCATTTCATTCTTGACAAGATTGAGTTAGTTGGAGTTTGGAGAACTGGTGCTAGACTGGAGAACATGGGTGCCGATAGTTGCTGGGTTCAACATTAGGGCTTTTTGGTAGAGGTGTCGGGCGGTTTTCTTCTCTAGTCATGTCATACTGTTTGATACAGGATTGTCGTTTAATAATTATACAAAAGTTCCTTCTCTCAAAGCTCACCTTGCCTAAGGTACTTTAGTCAACTACCAGCGGCCATATAAATCTACTAGTGTATGTGAACTTTGTAGTGGAACGATCACCTCAAGCGCATGGTCACCGAACATGTGAGGACTTCTCTCAAGGCTTTGAAACTCGAGGGCAAAGTTCTGCTTCGATAAAGACTTGTTGCAAATTTCAAACCTGGCTAGTGACAACAGGCCCAAAGTGCAAGTTATTTTCAAAGTTATTTTGTAGGAATCCGGAAATAACTGATTTACAATTGAACTAGTGCAGCTGTTTGATGATCGCGCTCAGTAAAATCAAAACTTGCCAAAGTCAAACGGTGTGTTGGCAATGTTGCTCTCCAGCTCTGAGATGACTCGTGTATAAGACGGAAATGCGGATAACACTTTTCCGCGTGGAACCAGTGGCTCTATCTCGTTGCATCAACCACCGAACGCTGACGTCCAAAACATGCCCCAAGATACTGAAATGGTGCCAAGATGTGGGCCATCTACGTAATCCCTCATTATGCCGCGGGGTTACCTCTTGCGGTCCAACCACTAACGACGGATCCAAGTGCCAAACCAGGCGCCTTTGGCCCGGCAGTCAGCAAAACACTGCGGATCAAGTTGAGAGCCTGCGTTCCGAGGAATAGCGGTAGCTTCAGTCTTTGTGCCTCATCGACCGCCTCCTGGAGATCGCTTGATATTGTCTGAAGCAGACTTTCGTTGCCGGAGGCAGCCCAATCGTGTGTAGACCTACCGGCCGCGATGGCATCCACAATGCGCCGGCCCTCGCCGGAAAGCATTGTGCTACCGCCGGCAGCGTTAATGCAGAGCTCAAAGACCTGCTCCAAATGCAAACCAACAAAGCGTGCGAAAGCAATTGCCTCGGCTGCCGCGCAAAGATGAATGCCACGGAGAAGGTTGACGACGAGGCTTAGCTTGCCTTCTTCGGACGTGACGGTAGGCTTGACCGGTCCAACCTTTCCCGCTCCTTCGATGTATAGTCGAATGAGACTGGCATCGTCGTCCGGGCCGTAGCCTTTACCGAGGGCGGCGAAATAGGCCTGCTCCGCCGTAGAGGTCATCGGAGTGGGGAATACGGCCCGACGCGCCTCTGAAGTAATGATGCTAGTGTCTTTGAGAATGATCGTGACCGCACTGGCAAGAGGTCCGAATTGAGCGTCCAGCATGCGTGGTAGCCGGTTCTCAAACATCCAGCTCCAACCCTCTGACTTGATGATCTTTTCGCCAGTACTTGAGAGATCCAAGCCAAGATGCGTTGCAAAGCCCAACGCTTCGCTCGACGAGAGGATTTGGTTGGCTGCGAGTACCTGATGGCACATCTTCATATTGCTTCCAGCGCCGATGCCGCCCTTGACGATATAAAGCTTCTCGGGATCCGACATAGCCTGCAATAGGTGAAGGCCCCTTCGGATAGCCTCCTCTTCTGCGCCGGCCATGATCGATAGAGTACCGGCCGCAGCTCTGGCAGCACCTCCGGACACCGGGCAATCCACCAGAGCGATGTCACCTCGATTTCTTGCAACCAGCTCTTTCTGAAGACCTTGCACGTAAGCGCATGGAACTGTCGAGCACAGCAGCACCACTGCTCCTTGTTGAAGGGCCGATAGGGCCGGAGCGTCACCTTCAAACAAGACGCCTTGCGCCTGTTCCGCTGTGGCAACCATGACAACACAGAACTCCTTGCCCGTGACAGCTTCGGCTGGACTTGTCGCTGTGAGGCCGCCTGCTGCCTTGAACTTGTTCAGAGTCGGTCCATAAACATCGAATCCTGTGACTGGATATCCAAGGCGGACAAGATTAGTCGCCATTCCAAACCCCATCGCCCCAAGACCAATGAAGGCCGTGGGCTGCTTGCTTGGGTCCATTGTGTCTTCGACGGAGGGTAATGTGTTGCGTGTATGTGTTTTAGAATGTCTAAGAGTAGAGTCGAGACCAGTTCGAGGAGCCAAGGATGCTGATGGGGGTACCGGATCTTGCAATCCGTGACCGGAGACGTGGGCCCCAAAGATTAAGTACTAGTAGGAAGAGCAGACAGATGAGTGACCACGAATGAAGGATGGCCTCGGATCCAGGTAACCCGTTGATTCGGTAGAAGTCGGTAGCTCGGGGTGACAACGGCCTTTTCCCGAACCGAGTACTGCTCCGATTTCACTCCGTAACCACGGCTCGCGCGGAAAATCGGCCCATTTCCGCCCCAATCCCAGAATCCCCCGCAATCCACATCACACATCGACAACAGTTGCGAATCTAGCTTCTCTGAGTGCTTCATCGTTGAAACTTCAACATAAGGCCGTTTCTCTACCCCCGTTATAGTGGTTGTCAACATCCTCAAGTACCTTGCCGAAGTTGAATTAAAGGACTCAACAAAGTTCGCCGATCCGACACCACTATTACCAATATAACTCACTGAACACTATCAAGCTACCCCGAGTCTCGCAAGTAACTCCAGTCTTCAAGATGGTTCGACCTCCTCTCGCCGAAAACCGAACGATGAAAATTGTGAATGCTGCAAATGAAGGCGGCTATGCAGTTGCGGGGTTCTGTTGCTACAACCTCGAAGCTGTGGTGGCATCCGTCAGAGCAGCAGAGGCGACCTCTTCGCCCGCAGTCGTGCAGCTCTTTCCGTGGGCAATGGAGTACGCAGGTAGTGCCCTTGTCAAAGCCGCAGCAGAACTCTGCCACAGTGCCTCAGTCCCCGTATCACTGCATCTCGATCACTGTCAGACACCAGAGCTGGTTCGCCGTGCTGCGGACATCCCCGACGGCTTTGACAGTATCATGGTCGACATGAGCCACTACGAGAAGGAAGAGAACCTGGCTCTTACTCGAGAGCTGGTTGATTACTGCCACCAACGCGGTATCGCGACGGAGGCAGAGCCTGGGCGAATCGAGGGCGGCGAAGACGGTGTGGCTGAGACGATAGATCTTGAAGGTGTTCTCACTACACCAGAGCAAGCTGAAGAGTTTGTTGCGACTGGGATTGAGATGCTGGCACCCGCTTTCGGCAACGTTCATGGCGAATATGGTCCGCGAGGGATCAAGCTGGAGTATGACCGGCTCGAAAATACCAACAAGGCTGTCGGAGATCGGGTTAGGCTCATCCTTCACGGGGCGGATCCATTTACGGAGGAGATTTACAATCGCTGCATCAAAGCTGGAGTGACAAAGATCAACATCAACAAGGGAATCAATAATCACTATGTTCCGACACAAGAAACAGCAAGAGGTCGCCCGATTACGGCGACGATTGAAGCTGGTACAAAGGAAATGCAGAAGGCGTGCGAAACTTACATGCATTGGTTTGGCTCGGCAGGAAAAGCATGAAGAAGTTATCGGACTACCTCCCTCGGAGATATCAACATGATGTGTTCTCTCTCATCGTATTATGAGGGTAATGCCATTCTAAGGGCTTTATTCAACATGATAGTATTCAAACAACATATTTGCGACCAAAAGTAAGTCAAAACTTATTACAGTGACATGAGGTATCCATACAACCCATCATAACGAACTCAAACACGCAATTGATGTCTCCAATTTCTGCATCAAAACTGTTCCTCTTCGACATCATAAGCTAGAGGCTTCTGTCCGAAGCCCATCTTGTCGATACCTGTGGTCTTCGAGACCCACAGTCCCCCCGAGATAGCCAACTCCATAGCTCGAAGACGCCAAGGTGCAGTTGACTTGCGCAAGGATCCATTCGACTCCGCCTTGTCCAGCATCGCCTCCGTCCTCACCTTTCGTTTCTTCTCATATACCTGTATCGCGTCTTCTAAGCTATCAGTGTTACTCTTCAACATCTTTGAGAACAAGAAGACGTCTTCTAAAGCCATGGAAACACCCTGGCTGGCGTGCGGTGGCATCGCATGCGCAGCGTCACCAAGAACCATGCAACGGCCCCTGGACCACGGTCTTCCCCGCGGCATCTTGTAGATCGGATAAAACTGGACAGCGTTCGTGGTGTTGATGATCTCGTGCACCATGTCCATCCAGTCAGACTTTTGACTTCCCAAGAGATCGAGAAGGGTAGCTTTGAATGTGTCTGCCGCTTCCTTTCCGCGCTCCTCCCATCCGTCACGGACATTGCCAAAAGCCGGAAGAGCAACCTCGCGGGAGAAAAACCAGTAGAGCAGATCGCGGGTTGGTGTCGTGGGGGCAATCACGAAAAGTCCGTCAGAGGTGAGCGTCGCGCTCATGGTATCGATAGACGTGGCTCTGGGGCACACCTCGTCTGGTCGCACGAGAGCGAACATGTTTGCAAAGCCGGAGTACTCGGGCACGGAGCCGGGATCGATGTAGAGTTTCCGCACGGCGGAGTGGATCCCGTCGCAGCCGAGGAGAAAGTCGGCCGTATCTGCCGTCCCGTCGACGAACCGCGCGGTCACGGTGTGGCCTTGGTCTTCGATTTTCTCCACGGCTTTGCCGTAATGTATTTGGATGTCTGCTTGCTTGGCGGCGCCTAGCAGGACGTCCATTAAGTCGGTTCGTTGGATGCGCAAGTATCCGAAGCCGGTTTGCTGCTCACTCCAGGATGATAGATCCATCTCACCCATAACGCAGCCTTTCAGAGCGTATAAGACGAGCTTCGGCGTCAATGCACCTCGAGCTGCAACGTCATTGTACAGTCCAAGGCGATCGAGTAGTCGTAGACCGTTGGAAGGAATGCCAATTGCTCCGCCGAGTGTTGTTGGCTGGCGGCGGATCTCGTAGACTACCGGCGTGATTCCATTGGCCTTTTTCAGCTGGAGCGCAGCAAGTATGCCTGCTGGGCCACCGCCGATGATGATGATCTATGCATGTTGTTGTCAGAAAATACTCCAACGGATCGGGCTGTAAAAACACGAAGATCATCAAGTAGTTACCTTTCTGATTTCCTTTACTGCAGTCATGTTGTTTATGGCTGGTAAGTTTGTGTTGCTTGGAATAGTTGCTTCTGACATTCGTCTGATGCGAGTGGTCAAGTTGCCTTTATCCCTTCCTTGGCACGCATGATGGTTCTTGTCGGCCTTTTCACAACAAGTCCAACGCCTTCCGCAGATTCGCAAGTACACCAAATCATGCGATTGTAGATCGTTGAAGGAAACCTAATGCCGAAACCCGGGAACCAAATTGCCACCGTCCTGCCCTGTTGCCGTGTTGCACGGGACGGGTCTATATCATAGCTTCACACCGTCGGGCTTTCGCCGATCCCAAAAACTCCGATTCGGATTCCTACCTTCGGCGTTCGGACGGCCGATGTCAAGCTTTCCCAGTCAAAATCAAGTGTATGTTATGAATCTCTTTCCCCTTGATATCTGACACTGAGCTGACTTTTGAGGCCTTGCTTCCGTGACTTCCATGTTAAGGCAAGTGATTCTTGGACCTTTTGGTGCAGTAAACCAGCTATTCTGGTGGTAAGTTGCCTGCCGAGGATATACAACCATGCACGTCTTCCGTCCCCGCCCAAAATGCCCGAGGGAAATTTCAGAAAATTAGAGTCAAATGAAATGCCTATCCCAACTTCGATGGTGCTAGTCATAGCCTGCGTCAATTGTCGTGGTCATCTGGTGATGTTAGGCATCCTGGACTAAGTCTGCCTGAGGTGGCATGGGCGTTGGATCGCAGGGGCAAGCGATGCTAAGACTTAACTGTCCACTCACAGCGAAGGAAAGGCTGCAGCTTACAGTCCCCCCATCCCCGCCAGATCATTTCGTGCACGAAGCTGACACCTGCTGCATTTCCTACCTCTACATGAATCTGGCAGCCAAATTTTGCCGAGTGAAACTCCCGTTTGGACCGTCAAGATGTCGGCCAACGATACGCAGTTTTTCAAACAATCCTTGAGGTCTGAATACTGGATCAACTTCAATGTCGACAAGAAGTTCAGTCTTGCCGGAGTTGATGAACCCGAGCTCGATAGTGAGGACAAGGAACTGGTCCGGACATGGGCATCTACCAAGGGTGCAACCAAGACAGCCCCAGGCCAAACTCAATCTTCGTCCCTGTACCGTCCCATACTCGATCCTTTCGAGATTCGCGTGCTCGAGATCTTGCCAGGCACCGGCGATGACAGATTACGTGGCCGCCTTCGTCACTGCTCACTCGAACTCAAGGCAAGGTTTGCTCTCGCTGTCGATGGATCCGCCACGCCGATAGTGTACACGGCGCTCAGCTACACATGGGGCCCGAACGTGTTCGATGAGGCAATCGAGTGCGAAGGTCACGTCAAGAATATCACAAAGTTTCTCGCGGTTGCTTTGAGGGCTTTCCGTCAAGATGACCGCTCAGTTGTGATGTGGATAGACCAGATCTGCATCAACCAAGACGACAACGAAGAGAAGGCACAGCAGATACCCTTGATGTCGAGGATCTATCAGAATGCTATGAACACCGTCATTTGGTTGGGTGAATCAACTTCGAATTCTGCTTCCGCCATTAAGTTGCTGGAAGACGTTAGGTTGCTCTTGCAGTTTACGGAGAAGACTTTTGGGCCGGACGAATTCGAGGGGCTTAATCTCCCCTCAGAAAGTTCGGAGGTTTGGAAAGCCCTGTGGGACTTTCTCTCGCGCCCGTGGTTCACGCGACTTTGGATCATTCAGGAAGTCATCCTCTCCTTTGACTCTTGGGTCGTATGCCGCAATCATATGGCTACGTGGGACGTCTTGTCATTGGCCTGTCTGCATCTCTGGACCTGTGGCATCTCGAGATGGCTAGGGGAGAAGTTCAATTCTGGGAGCCGCGCACTTGACCATCAGAGGGATCTTTGTGAGTCGGTACAGCACCTCAGCAGCATGAAGTCAAGCTACCACAGTACGGCCATGCCGCTGTTCGACCTATTGGTAGAGTCCAGAGAAGCCAAGTGTTACGACAATCGGGACAAGGTGTATGGTCTACTTGGTGTCTGTCAAGATCAGGACAGGTCTGCGATTAGACCAAGCTACGCAGACGAATTTCCCGTAACTCATCTCTATCGCGACATAGCGATACGTCACCTGGATAACAACAAAGGCAGCTTGAGACTCGGCGTGGTCCTTACCTGCGTAGACCATGAGTCTATCGATCTGCCATCGTGGGTACCAGACTGGAGAAACCCCCGTCGAACACACTCATTGGGACACTCTACTACCACAACAACACCGTACATGGCATGCGGTCATCTTACGATCGAAATCGGCAGAGTTCATCCACCTTTGGAACGCAAAAATAAGGACGAACTGCGACTGCATGGTGTTTCGGTTGACGCCATCGCAAAAGTCAGTACCGTATTTACGAATCCAGAGCTGAGTCTCGAAGATCCAATCACTGCCAACGGAGACTTGAAAGACATGTGCTCCTTTGTCGCAGAGCTACAAGAATATCCAGGCAACGAAACCGTCTTCTCTGCCTTCTGGCAGACACTAGTCGCCGGAAAAGATGCTACCGAAATGGCGAAGGCGCCGATAGCCTATGAGGAGATTATCTCCCTTCTCCTCGACGCATCCACGGGGCTGTCCCCGTCGCTTCCAGGGCAGACGTACTCTGCACGACAAAGTCGGCCGGCAGGCAAGGGGAAGCTAGAGCTAGCTAATCTCAAGACACGCACAGCAGGAAAAACGTTTCAGGATGTAAGGACCTCAATGATGCATGCTATGCGGAATCGCAGGCTGTGCTTCACTGCTAAGGGTTACTTGGGGCTAGTGTCGGAGACAAGCAAGGTGGGGGACGAAATTCACATTTTGGATGGGTGCCATATTCCATACCTTCTGAGGAAAGTTGAGGGCAGGAGGCATCGACTAGTTGGAGAGTGTTACGTGCATGGGATTATGAGAGGAGAGGCTGTTCAGGATGGCCAGAGCATGGATGAGATAGTCTTGATGTGAAAATTCAATGATGATGTTGTCTGAGCTTCCTTCGTCACGATGATTGTAGACCTAGACTAGCTTATGCGCAGCAGCTGCTGCCAAAACTTGTATGCAGACAGTGGCAAGCTCGTAGGGATTGATTAAGCTTTGGTTGGCCTCGATGGTTGAGCATGGCTTGGTTGCTGTTTCTCCCGCTGAAACTCAAAGCACCTTGCTCCTTCCCTTAGTATCCTTCCTGGTCATTCTGGTTCATGACATTACGTCTTTCCATCATTACAGGGCAGGAGTGAAGCAAGAGTCAAGTTATCATCAGTTGGGCTTGGAAAGGGAAGAACGTAGTTGGAAAATAGTTCTCAAGTTGGAAAGAAGCCACACGTTGAACAGCGTTTTGCTTACATCCTTGACTGCATGCGATTGCCAACCTCATCTCGTCAAACCACCTCCACCACTCCCAACATCTTTGGAACAGCTCTTTCAGCTATCCTAACGGCAAAACACAGACTC